CCCCCTGTGGCCTCCCCAAACGCACGATGAGTGCACGTTTCTCCCCCCCATGATCGGCGCCCCACCGTCATACTCAAATGTACTATATGTGCGTCGCCCCCCCAGGGGCGACGCGCGCACCGAGAAATCTTATAGTATACGCGCCGTGGCAGGCGCTTTCTGGCCACACCGCTAGGGAAACGATATACTACAAGATGGTTATACTCTATGCTCGGGCCGGACGCACGTCTCCAAGGCGGACGCGTTCTACATGTCTCTGTGCATCCCGCATGAGGCAACGTCGGCAGGGTGGCCTCGGTGAGGGCGCGACGGTAGCCAGCCTCGCCGCCGCGCGTCCGTGGGCCACGAGGCGCGCGCGAGGAGCGAGGCGACCCGGCGGCCGCAGTTTTGGACCGAGCCGCGGCGCCAGCAGCTGCCTCTTCCAGGTCCCTCGCGTCGTGATTTTTGTCGCGGCGTCGCCCCCCAGAGGTCTCGACCCATTCCCTGGGACCGGCTTACCATCCTGGGTCAGAGCGGAGATGGGGTCGGAGGATCGGATCGTGCCGCATCGCCGATGCACATCGGCGATGCAGCTCGATGTGGAGTCCGGTTTTCTCCACGCAGATGGCGCCGATGCTTCGGCGATGCGGCGCGTTCCTCCGACCAAGTGGAGGAAGCCTCCAGTCTAACGACGGTCCTGGGGCCCGGCGAGGGCCCCCAGAGGCCGAACCTAGTTCCACTGGCTGGCATCACAGAAGCAAGACGAAGCGCCCGTCGCGCCTCTGCTGCGACGCGGTGGGGGGCCTGGGCTGCCCCCGACGCCAGCAGTCGGCGGCGAGCCCGGGGGAAGTGAGAAGGGGCGGACCTTCTCAGAAGGCTCGGAAGCCCCCCGGGCTTCTGAGAAGTTGTCTATAGGCTAGCCTCTCCCGAAGACGCAGAACCATTTTCAGGAGGCCAGAGCGCTTCTGAGAAGTCCCGCCGATTGCCAAGAAGAGGCCTCCTCCCTCTCACTCACCCGCTGCCCCAGACCCCCGGCGTCGTGATTTTTTCGCAACGTCGACCCCCAGAGGTCTGGACCCCTTCCACAGAACTGGTTTATCATCCTGAGTCGTTTTTTGACGGTCCCGAGGCCCGGCAAGGGCTCCCAGAGGCCGAAATTAGCGAGAAAGTCCCGTCGAGATTTTTTCACAGGGCGAGGGGGTCTGGGTTCTCACTTCCCCCTCTCGCTCGCCGCCGAAGAAGGGCTCGCCCCCGGCATGGCGCGCTTCGACCCGACGAAGCTGCTGCAGGGCCTGGCGTCCGGCAGCGGGCCGCTCCTGGCGGCCGGCCTGGGCGCGCTCGGGGGCGCCGCGTACCTCGGGAAGAGCACCTTCTACACGGTGGACGCTGGCCCCACGGGGCGCTTCCTCCTCCTCCTCCTCCCTCCCTCCTCCTCCTCCTCCTCCTCCTCCTCCTCCTCCTCACTCCTCCTCCTCCTCCTCCCTCCTCCTCCTCCTCCTCCTCCTCCTCCTCCTCCTCCTCCTCCTCCCACCTCCTGTTCCTCCTCCTCCTCCTCCTTCTTCTTCTCCTCCTCCTTCTCCTGAGCAGGGGATTCTGTGAGCGGGCTAGACTGTGGACGGCTTGGCTGGCTGAGGGGAAGTGTGGAAGGCGAGCAGCACAGGCAACAGCGGGAGCACGAGCGGCGGGAGCCGCAGCCATGTATCCCCGCTGGCCAGAGCCCCGAAAAAGGCGGACCTGAGCGCTCCTGAAGCGGCCGCCGCCCCTGCGTTCTTGTCGTCGCACGTTTGTTTCGCCGGCGCCCCATCTGAGATCCTGGCGCCGCACGTCTGGTTCACAGCGGTCGGGGGCGGCCAAGAGGGGGGTGATGGCTAGGGGGGGAGCGACTGGGGCCACGATATCTCCTCAGATGTCATGGCCGCTATTATTCTTCGGGTTATCATTAACATTATTATTATTATTATTATTATTATTATTATTATTATTATTATTATCAGTATTATTATTATTATGTTTATTACTTATATTGTTATCATGAGTATTATTATTATTATTATTATTAATAATATTAGTATTATTATTTTTATCATTATCATTATTATTATTATTAGTATTATTATTATTATTATTACTATTATTATGTGTGTGTGTTCGTCGTCTTATTCGTATTAGTGTCACTCGTATTATTATGATGATCATACTTACGATTAGTATTATTATGCTGATGTGTCTTGTTAGTATTATTCGTAATTATTTCAGTATTGTTAATAATTTTATTACTACTATTACTAATACTACTATTATTATCATTCGTCTTGTCATTATTATTATTACTCCTCCTGTCAATGCGCCCTGGGCCCTCCCCCAGTGGGCCGTGCGCATACCTCGGGCCCTGATTTATGCGAACCCTTCCCTCCTGGACGCCCCCAGAACCCGCGACCTCTGTACGCATCTAACGGGGTGCAGGAACTACTTATCTCGTCTTCGACATCTTGAGGGCTACCACAATGATCTACAGAGGCCCCTGCTCCAACACAAGTCTGGTGAAGGTGGGATGCTAGAAATGCGCACAGCTTGTCCAGACACTGCTGTGCCGGAGCTGTCCGAAAAGAGCCGTTCTCCGCGCGACCGAGACATATTTTGTGAGTGTCGTACGGGTGCGAGCATCGGCTCTGCTTCGGAAGCTGCCGCAGCTCAGTTCTCACGCTCGACACGTTAGCGACCAAGAAACATGTGGGCTTAATCGACTCAGCTCCGAATGCACACTGGTCCACCCAGAGCCAATCTATGCGAACATCTGGGTGCTGCATTCGGACCAAGTGCGCCGTCTCCTCAACCTACCAAGAAGACGGCAGGAGCTGGTCGGAGGGGGAAGCAGGGTGCTCTGACATTGCTGCCGCTCCTGTGGCGACTGCAACGCACACAAGCAAAATGGTGGCACGATGCAGACCATTGGCACTTTCCAGCGGGGCCCATTCCTTTCCTTCGAGCGAGCTTGTCCACGGCAGCGGCATGCCTCAGATCCCCCCGAACCCCGTCGTGGACGACGTTGGCCGACAAGAACCATACCGCTGCCTGGGACTGAGGCTGGACATGCTCGAAGTAGCTTTGCACATCTCCGGGCCGTCTCTGGCCGCTGAAGAGCTGCAGCACATATTTTATTATGTCTGTTGAAACTGGCAGGGGAATCGGAGCGGCGCCAGAAAACTGCGAGGCTTGCACAGCTGCAGGTTCTGGCGGCTGCTCGGGCACAGCGTATTGCGCCACCAACGCAGGCGTGGATGGTGGAAAGGCTGGCCCAAAGACTGGATTTTCTGGCACCTCGGCTTTGGCATGGTAGAGACCGTTGGCTTTGAGACGATGCGTCTCAGCTGATCCGCACTGGTTTTCTTTCCCCTCTCGTCAGCTTCCGTCGGTGGTGTCTGCTGGATCCATCCTGCCAGGCACCACCTGCTTCCCCTTCTCAAGTGCTTGAGCAAACGTGCACGGGTAGCGAAGCATTGCAAACACGCATGGCACGTCCCTCCTTGAGCTTGCCTGGCTGCAGGGTCGTGCTCCGGATGATCTCTTATACGATGGAGCCGCCAACTGCCCTTGGACCTCAATATGGCCCCAGTCCTGGCACGGGTATGCTATAACCTGCGGGGGACGTGGGACCGTTGGGGGGGGTGCTCGATACCACTGGCGGCACACACGTCATACATCTTCCGCCTCCACCTCGACAGCTTCAGCTGATCCCTACTCCAGTGGGTGAAAGTGGCGACAGCTCGTCGCACAGTGTGGGACCAGGCGTTAGGGGCCTCGCGGGCCATGTCGAACCATTTTCCGACGGGGACCCCTTCGGTCCTGTCGTCAGGGCCACCTTGGACCTCAAGCCATTTAACATCATCCCGAACCAAAGCGCACCACCCATCCTCGAAGTGCCAGATCACATCGAGCAGACCTCAGACCTCCCTCCTCTTCCTCCCCGTCCTCCCAGAGGGGCCGGGGCCGAGTGAGCAACCGGGGAGCGCCGAATCGGTTTGGGTTCGGGGCTTCCGGCGCAGAGCGGGCGACGTGCAGGTGATTGCAGCCGCAGCGCCGAGAGTCTGCGCCGCGTTCGTTTGCAGCCGAGGGACGCAGTGGAGCCTGGAGGGGCACAGCAGGATCGGAAGGAGAGCACAACGGAGCACGCTCCGGGCAGGAGGTCCTCCAGCGCGTGTGTGCTGGAGGACGGGCATGCACAGCGTGCACGGCGGACGGGATCCGCGCCGCGTTCGTGTGCAGCCGATGGACGCAGCGGGGCCTGACGGGGTACAGCATCAGGATCGTTTCACCGATCCCTATCCCCCTCCCCGTCCCCATCCCGTTCTCCACCATCCCACCACCCCAGTTGGGGATGTGCCTTTCGAGACCCGAAGGGAACAGCCTGTATCCCCATCTGGGCGGGCAAACCGGCCAGTGGGGCCCAGGCCACGCAGGTAAGGACAGGAACCGGTTCAGCGGTGCGCACAGCAGGAGCAGAAGGACAGCACCACGGAGCACGCTCCGGGCAGGAGGTCCCCGCGCGAGTTTGTGCTGGAGGACGCGCGTGCGCGGCAGACCGTCGAAGAGAAGTCCAAGGATCCTCCTCCTCCTCCCTCCTCCTCCTCCTCCTCCTCCTCCTCCTCCTCCTCCCACCTCCTCCTCCTCCCACCTCCTCCTCCTCCTCCTCCTCCTCCTCCTCCTCCTCCTCCTCCATTTTTTCTCTTCCGGATAGCTCCTCCCTGTCGCACGCCGAGGCCGGTCAAGTCGTAGAGAACAAAGCCAGCGACGCAGACATGCATTCTCGGAGGTCTGCGCGGACTTCTTCGGTCGGCGCTGGGCGTCTCGGGCGCCGCCCCTGGGTGTCTCGAGTAGGGGATCGATTTCAGAACTGACTTGCCCCAGGATTGATTTTTCTCGTCGAACCCAGGGGAAATTCGCAGAACTTACGCAGATCTACGAACGCTCTACTGATTTTTGTTGAAGTCTCGACGTGAAACTCAAGTTTGGGGTAAACCATTTCTGCAGTCGATCCCCTGCTCGAGTCTTGGGTGGCGCCGGGCACCAGGGGCAGCGACGGCCCAAGGAATCCGACTCTAGGCCACATGGCCGTCAAGTACAGCCGCCTGTCGGGGGTCGGCGTCGACACCTACATGGAGGGGCTCCACTTCATGGTCCCGTGGCTCGAGAGGCCGATCATCTTCGACACCCGCGCGAGGCCGCACACCATGACGTCCCTGACCGGGAGCCGCGATCTGCAGATGGTAAACATCAACGTCCGCGTCCTGAGCAAGCCCGACAGCGGTAGTCAAAGAACAATAACCGGCACAAGCATAAGCTTTCGGCGCTCCGCGCGGATTTCTTGGATCCGCGCTGTGCCCCCCGGGCGGCGCCTCCGGCGCCGCCTCTGGCGCGCTCCGCGCGCCAGGGAGGGGGGTTACAGCTCAAATCCAAGAAAGCCGCGCGGAGCGCCAAAAGTTTATGTTTATGCAGTGTTTTCTTCTTCCAGGTCGGCTGCCCGAGATCTACAGGCTCCTCGGCACGGACTTCGACGAGAAGGTGCTCCCGTCCATCGTCAACGAGGTACTGAAGAGCGTGGTGGCGCAGTACAACGCCTCTCAGCTCGTCGTGCAGCGCGACCAGGTCAGCCGTATGATCCGGCAGCGACTCATGCAGCGCGCGGCCGACTTCCATATTCTCTTGGACGATGTGTCGATCACACACTTGAATTTCAGCCCAGACTACGAGAAGGCAGTAGAGTCGAAACAAGTGGCTCAGCAGCACGCGGAGCGTGCGCGGTACCTGGTGCTGAAAGCGCAGGAGGAGAAGAAGAAAACGATTATTCACGCCGAGGGTGAGCGCGCGTCTGCGCAGATGATCGGCTCCGCTATGAAGGAGAATCCAGGCTTCATCGAGCTTCGGAAGATCGCCGTTGCGAAAGAGATCTCCGGGCTGCTCTCCAAGTCCAACAACCGAATGGTCCTGTCCTCCGATTCTCTGCTGCTCGACCTGGCCGTCCACGAGTCCAGCCAGGCGGCGCAGCAGGAACCAAAGGCCAAGAAGCGCTGGTGGTGAGCGGCTCCTGTGCCCCAGACCGGCCAGAAGCACTCGGGACCGACGAGGCGCGATGGATTGCCGACGTCCGACTTCCAGTTCCTTCGAGTAACAGAAAATGGCGTAGACATAATTTCTCGGAGGTCCGCGCGGAGTTCTTGGATCGGCGCTGGGCCCCCCCTGGCGGCGCCTCCGTCGCCGCCCCTGGGGGACCCAGCGCCGATCCAAGAAATCCGCGCGGGCCTTCGAGGAATCATGCCTGCGTGTGCCGTTTTCTACTCTTCGAAGCCTCGTCCTCCTCGGGCCCCCGCATTCCCTGCCGCGTCTCGTGCGTGGCACCCGCCGGGGCGTCCTTCCAGCATGTCGTCCAGCGCTCGCGTCGGTGAACCCCCCGCGCGCGAGCAGTGTCAAGGTGCCTGCGGCAGGTTCCGCCACTCATCGAATAATAATAAGAATACTAATACTAATACTAGTGATAATAGTAGTAGTAATAATCATGATAGTAATACTAATAATAATACAAACACGAATAATAATAATTATAATACTAACACTAATAATAATAATGATAAGAATGATAATAAGAAGAATAATAATAAGAATCATAGTAATAATACGAATAATAATACTAGTAATAATAGTAATAATGATAACAATAGCAATAATGATAAGAAGAAGAAATAAGACTAATAACAAAAAGACGTCATAAACATAAACTTGTGGCGCTCTGCGCGGACTTCTTGGATCCGCGCTGGGCCTCCCCAGGCGGCGCCGCCTGGTGCGCTCCGCGCGCCAGGGAGGGGGGTTCGGCTCAGATCCCTAAAATCCACGCGGAGCGCCAAAAGTTGATTCCCCACATGTTTCGTGTGGTTCTGGTGTTTTTCCCTGCCGCGACGCACCCGCGTCTCACTTCCCTCCTCTCCTCTCCTCCACTTCCTTCCTCCCCCCACCCCACGTACATGAGAAACGTGTCTACATAAAGCCATACACACGATACGATGATAGTGCACACCTGGCGTGTTCACTGCATCATACACACAAGACGTGTGCACCACATGCTGGGCTTCCACATGAGACACACGCGCGCACGCAGCACACATACACGCAGCACACACACACACACACACACACTTACAGTCGCGACGCGTGCTGCGCACACACACACACACACCACACACACACGCACACACATTGAAACACGCGTTTGAGGCAAGGGCGTTCGATGATGTCCTCCGTTTCGGGCTCGCACAGCGTGGCAGGCGTAGCAGTTTCTCGACACCACAGGGAGTGCGCTGGGGGGCGTCTCCCTAGCCGTTTCGGGCTCGCAAAGCGTGGCAGGCGCGACCTTTCTTCGACACCAGAGGGGGTGCGTAGGGGGTGGTCTCTCAGAGCGGCCTCTATGCGTGCCAGGGTCTGCGAGCGTGACAGGCGTGGCAGTGTCTCGACACCAGAGGGGGTGCGTACGGGGTGGCAGCGCGGCCCCTATGCGTGCCAGGGTCGGAGAGCGTGGCAGGCGTGGCACGTTCTCGACATCCGAGGGGGTGCGCAAGGGGTGGTCTCTCAGCGCGGCCCCTATGCGTGCCAGGGTCGGAGAGCGTGGCAGGCGTGGCACGTTCTCGACATCCGAGGGGGTGCGCAAGGGGTGGTCTCTCAGCGCGGCCCCTATGCGTGCCAGGGTCGGAGAGCGTGGCAGGCGTGGCACGTTCTCGACATCCGAGGGGGTGCGCAAGGGGTGGTCTCTCAGCGCGGCCCCTATGCGTGCCAGGGTCGGAGAGCGTGGCAGGCGTGGCACGTTCTCGACATCCGAGGGGGTGCGCAAGGGGTGGTCTCTCAGCGCGGCCCCTATGCGTGCCAGGGTCGGAGAGCGTGGCAGGCGTGGCACGTTCTCGACATCCGAGGGGGTGCGCAAGGGGTGGTCTCTCAGCGCGGCCCCTATGCGTGCCAGGGTCGGAGAGCGTGGCAGGCGTGGCACGTTCTCGACATCCGAGGGGGTGCGCAAGGGGTGGTCTCTCAGCGCGGCCTCTATGCGTGCCAGGGTCGGGGAGCGTGGCAGGCGTGACACCAAAGGGGGTGCGCAGGGGGTGGTCTCTCAGCGCGGCCCCTATGCGTGCCAGGGTCGGAGAGCGCGGCAGGCGTGGCACTTTCTCGACACCAGAGGGGGTATGCAGGGGGTGGTCTCTCAGCGCGGCCCCTATGCGTGCCAGGGTCGGAGAGCGCGGCAGGCGTGGCACTTTCTCGACACCAGAGGGGGTACGCAGGGGGTGGTCTCTCAGCGCGGCCCCTTTGCGTGCCAGGGTCGCACAGCGTGGCAGGCGTGACAGTGTCCCGACACCAGAGGGGCGCAGGGGATGTCTTTCAGCGCGGTCCCTATGCGTGCCAGGATCGGAGAGCTTGGCAGGCGTGGCAGTTTCTCGACACCTGGATGGGGTGCGCAGGGGGTGGCCTCCCAGCGCGGCCCATACGTGTGCCAGGGTCGGAGAGCGTGGCAGGCGTGGTACGTTCTCGACATCCAAGGGGGTGCGCAGGGGGGTGGTCCTTCACCGCGGAGTCTGTACGTCCCAGTCGTCCATGCACAGCAGGCGTGTCACTGTCTGGACACCAGAGGGGATGCGCAGGGGGTGGTCCCTCACCGCGGCGTGCGCCGTCCGCCTGCCCACCGCGTCGGGACTCATGCGCCGTCCGCCTGCCCACCAACGGCCCCGCTCTCTTCCGTGGTCGCCATGGCTCAGGCTGTTGTTCGCACGGCGTGTCAGTCTCCCAAGGCTTGGTCAGCGCCACCAGCGGTATCGGCGAAACAACGGCCACCAGCATAATTCTCGCAAGCTTCACGTCAGCTATCATCACGCCAGACATATTATAAGTATGTGAGGTTCCTCGGTAGCGTAATGTTCATGCCGTTTTTTCTTCCTCTAATTCAGAGATGGGCGAGCTGAGGCAGCGGCAGCGGCCTTCGGGGGGGCCGGAGGGCTTTCGTCGCCACGGCCTGTTGCGGCTCGGAGAACTGGCGCGCGCGGGCCCCGCGAGGGATGAGGGGACCGATGTTTGAGCTGCCGTTGTGTTGGTTCGCCCATCTCCGAGCCACCGCTACAACGCGGCACTGTGTCTGGAGGGGAGCTGGGGAGCCGCCCTGGAGGTCGCAGCGCGTGGCAGCCGTCCGCCCTCCTTGGGCTCCAGGCGGGCGTGGGGTGCGGCACGCGCTTCCGCAGGCTCGAGGATGCCGTGATGTGTGAATCGAGAGAGCCGTAACATGTGCCAGATCCCCAAGGGGCGTGACGTCAAAGTTCGTGTCCATAAGCGGAAAGAGAGAGAGAGAGAGAGAGAGACAGAGAGAGCGATATCATATCGAGAGAGCGAGAGGGAGAGACTGACAAGGCCGCAGCATGTGACATGGTCTCCCCGAACCCCAGGAGGCCATGACATGTGGCATCGGGGGGTTGGGGCCTCCCAGGATACTGGGCGCCTTCGGGCCATCATGGGAGGTCTCGGTGCCATCTGGTGATCCCAGGGGCTGATTTCGAGGGTCGTGGGTGTCGTCCAGCGGTCGTTTTGGGGGCCATCTTGTTCGCCGCCTTCTGGCAGTCGTGGGGCCTCTTGGGGGCTGTTTCGGGGAAGCCCTCACTTGGTGGATTTGTCGAGAGAGGGAGAGGTGGTCCCGCCCGTTTCGCCTGAGACAGTCTCGCAACTCTGCGCTCTGAAAAGATGGGCGCAATGTGGTCTGGCCGTTTCGCCCGCGACATCCTCGCAATTCGAGGCTCCGACGCGAGGTGGTCTGGCCCGTTTCGCCAGAGACATCCTCGCGGAGGGAGGGGGGGGCAATGATTTGTCTTGTCCGCATTTGTCCTGCTCTTGCTTCTGCACGCCCGCTTCCTAAGCAACACTCCTTGTTTCTGCCTTTTCATTTTTCATATCCCTTCGTATCAATTGGAGGCCGCTTCCTGAGGGCGGAGCGCGTCATCACTGAACAGGCCTCAGGGCATTTGGCGCAGGGGCCCTCGTTGTGAATCTCGTCCGAAGGCCTCGTGCTGCCCGTCGGGACGAAGACTGGGCCGGGCTGTCGATGACTCAGAAGACGTGTGGCCGCTCCAGTGCTTTGGGCCCCATCCAGGGCCCTCCCGGAGGGCCCGCACGGAGCCCCGCAGGCCTTCTCGGGCGCCTCTCGGGGCCTCGAGTGCCCCACGCGGAAGCCCTCGTGGGTGGCCGGGCCCCTTCGCGGGGCAGATGCCGGTCCCCGTGGAGGCATCTCATCTGCAAGGCCGTCTCGGGGCAACTCCGGGGCCGCCTCCGTGGCCGTCCTGGGCCGTCCTGGGGGCAGCCTGGCTCCCCCCCCCCCTCTCAGAGGCCCTGCAGAGGCCCACCAGGGAGGCACGCCGCCCGGGCGGGAGGGGGGCGGCGAGCAGGGCAGCGACTGAGTTGAGCCGGCCACGCGCAGAGAGGGGTGTTTAGGCTTTTCTGGTAGCGTTGAGGTTTTTCGATGTTCGAATTTCGAGGTTTTCGGGCGGTTTCGTTGGTTGTCGACGGCTTTCCAGGCTCGGCATGCGTGCCAGCAGCTGCGCCTCGCCGAGGGCGTTCCAAGGGTGCCCAGATCGCCCCGAACGGCCACCGGAGACCCGAGTTGTGTCCCGAAAGCTATACTCGCCCACGCGCAAAGGTGGGAGCGGGGAGGGGGGAAGGCTTCGTAGAAGTTCCCCTGCTGCTTGGAAGGCGTGGGCCTCATCTGTAGACGTGAGTCCGGTCCCTTCTAAGAAGCAGCCTCCGTCTGAGAAGCCTTCCCCTCTCACCCTACCACTTCGTGGGCGCGGCCAATTGAGACGACGGCAGCTCTTGGCGATCATGGGCCCCAGAGTTGTTGCACCAGTGCCGCTGCAATTGTTTCCGCGTAAACGTCCAGGGCTCGCGCACCCTGTTCTTGCAGCGCCTTTGCTCCGAAGCACAAAGAGCTCCACAAGCATAAGCTTTCGGGCCTCCGTGCGAACCTCCGAAAGGTTATGTTTCTGCCGTTGTTTGTTCTTTGCCTCTTGTGG